ATATGTTTTGCTATCTTTCTTTAAATATCTCGAAATTTTACTAAGCAAAGTGGGTATAGTTCCTAAGCTAAAATTAATCTGTGTGAATAATTACACATAAAAACATTATTAACTCAAAATTGAGATTTTGCTGTTAGGTCCCTTTCTATTTTCCGCGCCCCATGACGATTGTCCGGGTTCTTCTGTTCAACCTCAAAGAAATCATGTGATTTATGGCGCTGACTCTTATCATTTTTTTGTTCTCAAGATTTTTTTTTCTAACAATGAATAATAATATTTTCCTAATAACAAGATGCATCAATCCTATAAAACTTGTAAAAAATATTAAAGGTGATAAAAATATTTACAAATAGTCTTCTTTTTTTATTTTGAATAACGATCTGATAATTTATTTTTTTTTTAATATAGTTTTCTCATATTTAACTGAAAAGAAAAAAAATGATATTTTGTTCTTCAAACAAAAATTATTGTTGAATAGTATTAATAATGGTAATAATAATGTTTTTATACACAGACAAAAATATCATTGTTTGTTTAATAATAACAAAATTGTTGGATCAAAGAGCTTAGAGAATTATCCAAGATTCAAAAAAAAAGTTGAATTTCCGTCAATTCTTATTAGGAATAATAACTTTATTATTGACAGTGCAGGTCATCATCATAACATTATTAGATTTATTACAACCAAGAATTTTAAAAGTATTATAGAAATATCATCATCATCATCACCACTTAATAAAAAAATTATGGCATTTGGTGGTGCGATCATAGTTTATTGGGTCTTAAAATCAACGTTTATGTTTATTGTAAATATAATAATTGCTATAGGAACTTATAGATTGTTAAGAAGGATTCTGGATGCAATTTGGCCAAATAAAACAACAAAATATAAAGTTGACATAACCAGTGAAGCACCATCTCAACTATTTAGAAGTCGTAATGCTCTTTCGCCATGGGTAGAATTCAATAAAGTTTTGTTTGATGATCCTGTATTTAGACAAACGGGAAATTATAAGAATTCTCCACTTAATCAAGTATACTATGATTCTATGGCAATGGTTCAAAGAGGTTACGAAAATAATTATAAAAATTTAAAGACATCATTTGATGGATATATTACTAACTCAGGAGGAATAACGTTCACAGCTTTGGATTCTATGTATACAAGTTCTTTAATTGGAAAAAATTATAAACAAGACATGATAAATATCAAATACTGGGCTGCAAGTAAGGCTAATAACGATAAAGCACGTATTCAAGTAACTGGAGCTGTTAAAGATAATAACACAATATTGGAAAAAATTACTATTTATTGGCCAAATACCAATAAAGAAATTTTATTACATTCGGAAGATATCAATAATATTCCACCGTTCGAAAAAAGCAATGATCAAGATGAATCACCTCCAATAATTGAAGGTGAATTTCGTGATATTAAAAAAAAATAAAAAAAAAATAAACATTATTTGTATTAATAATAATGATAATTATAATAGCTGTTAGTAATTGTATAATGAATGCTCATAAATAATTTATATAATCTAATTAATGATTTACTAAAATAATATTTATATGCTAAAGTATTTTGACTGTAAGGACTAAGTTGGCGTAATTTAAACATGATGAAAAGTCCAATAATTTAAGACTATCATCATACTAAAATCTAATGATTATAAATAATAATAATAATTATTATTTATTTCCATAATTCACATCCTTAAACCCTTTACAAAATCCAATGTTTTGTCCATTAGCAGGAGGTGGTTTTGGCTCTCTTGATATGATATTTGATTGTGATGAAGACTGATTTTTTTTAATATTAAGATTGATTTTCGGTTTTTCGTAATGTATGTCTTTTTCTTTTTTCTTTATTTTTATCTGTTTAATGTCTATTTTATCATCGTTAACTGACGAAGTTGAAGTTGAAGTTGAAGATGAAACTATTGGCAGTGATGATGGTGTAGTAGATGAAGATGAAGTTTTTAATATTTTTTTCAATTGAACATCATCATTGCCTCCACCTGCATTAATAATTCCATGATTGTTATCATTACTATTAATAATGTTAACATGATCTCCGGTAGTACTGCTACCACCACCACCATCGCTATTATCAATACTGCCAAAGATCCTTTGTCTAGCTAATAAATATTCTGTCTCACGTTCTTGCAAAGACTTTTTTGAAAAATCAGGAATTGATGAATCAACTAATGATAATAAATGAGCTGGATTAGTGGTGGTTGTAGATCCAGGTTTTGTAGGACGTTTTAAGATATGAAGCTGGTTTCTCATAAAAATCATAAATTAATATAAATGTCAGATTGTTGTTTTTAAAATAATTATATAGGTAACAAAAATAAAAAGTATTGTATACTTCTGGAACATATTCTGTTCTTGTTGAATCAGTACGAATTATTTCTGGGTGTGTAAAAGTATTTCTATTGATGATAACAATATTTTTAAAAAACATTTTTTACCATAGAATAAATTTCATAAAAATAAATTGAGTCTTACATACGCTTCTTGCCATAGCTTTAAGTTTGTTTTATGTTCATCTACAATCTTTCTTGGTTTTGGATCTAGCTAGCCATTATGGAAGAAAATTAGCATGCTTCATCATTGTTGTTACTATTATTGACCATAAAAACGCTTCAATATATTTTAACTTACATTTGCATCAGCTGCAGTTTCCCAATCATCCCAGGGATCGTCTGTCATTATGCTTGAAAAGTTGTAAATATTTTATTTTTTTAATTAATGAATTTTATTGGCAGGTAGCGAGTATGTTTAATTGGTTGGTTGAAATCACATGCCCTAGAGAATTACTCGATTTAACGAGTATTTCGTGCCTATCTGAAAATGATATTTGATAGCTTTTGATTAGTTCTACAATCCGTCGTCGAGATAATTTAAAATTACTGGTTCCAAGGTTATTTGCTTTTAAAAAATATAAAATATTCCAAATTTGAAACATTTAGTTATTTGAGATAATTATAAGCTTTTAAAAATTTCAACGATAGGATAAATATCATCTATTTCCCTATTTAGCTTTAAAGTTATAGATTGCAGATCTGTGCTAGTTAAATCGAGATTACCGCATTGAAATATTTAATAAAAGATATATACAATATTACACTACTCAGATTAAATGTTAATTAGGCAGACTAAGGGATGCCCGACCCCTCGGCGTAAAGCCTTTACTATGATTAACCTTTAAATTGGTTAACACAATATAAATAAGCCTAATAATATATGCCGCAAAAACATTCGAAGTCTTTCCGAAGTAACATAATAATATTCACCGGATACTTTTTACGCGTAAATTGATATTATTTAGTTAAAAAAATTGTAATCTGGAATTTCTATTATTATTATCTCAATTGTTATTGAATCGTCTTTAATACACACAACACACCACCAGTCGAATATTTAATAATGGTGTTTGATTGGTGTTTTATTGTACGTCAAATAAAGCAGTAACTTTGGTATTTATATCGAATATAATTTTTACTCTAAAATATATTGTTGTTGACAACTTTAATAATCCGCAAATCCCGGCCCTTCCTAAATTTACTTTTTTTTCTGAAATAAAAGGTTCATCAGAAAACGTATTCCTAGAGAATTTCAAATAAGATGGATGCACAGATTTTATCACGATTGATAATGATAATAATTAGAATTCGGAGGTACCGAACTACTAATAAATAAATAATTAGCTGTGTAAAGCCAACAATACTTCAAACAGAACCAGAAGACGACGGTGTTGTTTTACAAACAATTACTACAACGGAACTGTTAAAATCTTTAGATACAGTGATTTCCTATTACTATTACTATATTAAAAATCCACATCAATTAATGTGATCAAAAACCAAATATGCAGACATGAAAATAATTCTAGAAAATAAACCACACTTTGAACGATAAACATTGATTTCAACCCAATAAAATTTAATCCAATATCACGTGACAGTTGGCGAAAATTTTTGTAAAAGATAATATAATGTTTACGGTTGTACCTTGGGCAACATCATTTGTAAATTTTACTGTAAAAGAATGCAATTTCCAAGTGAATTTAATGAAGAAACAAAGAAACTTCTTGCATTCTGGCATGATATTATTTTTTGCAGTGACCCTTTGTTAATAATTGAGTACAATCAATCGGGTCTTAATAATCTACCTAAGATTATAGTTATTAACATGAACTGAAAAAGAATTAAGGAAAAAGATATTAATATGTTGATTATTAAATAATTATAAAAGGTGAACAGGAACATAGATACAAAGTTGATTCTTGTCATTTTTGATAAAGTAATGTCTGTATGATCAATATACAGAAAGGATTTATGATAAATTGTGTCACGGCAAATAGACTTGTCTCTGATATGTAATAATGATGTAATGATGATGATGGAAATTACAGATAATCCAAAAAAAGCATCTACATGAGCAAGGATTTGTGATCTTTGATTTTACTAAGCCAGTGGATGATCCTCTAGCAGTTAGATTAGAATGGATATCTCCTCCCTCTCGATTTATATATAAAAAGTATTGTAAAATTACTATTGAGTAAAGCATGATTTCATAGATGCAAGTTTTCTTTCTGCCTCTTGCAATTCTATCTTCTTCTCTTCAACCGGGAAAACCAAAAGAATGTAACAAGTATAATTTGACAAGATACTCTGACAGGTTCTATGGAGGTTGTATCAGTTTACAATTACAGAGTCTTTTCGCAACCTGGACACCTGGAAATAACATAGTTGATACCTTTATTATTCAACAATGTCAAATGAAACCATCTTTACACAAGTTGTGTTTTAGAATGAATCTGCATTTACCATTAAGCTTCCGATTTCATTTCGATCAAAAGAGTGATATTAATTGAACGCGCGAGTAGATCAGTTTTATTGATCATCGTTAAAAGTTTAAAAAGCCTTTTAGAGCAATGTTTAATATTTGTCAACTCCTTCGGATATTTATTGTCCCTTTTCTTTATTTTCCTCTTCTGGGAATTACTTTTTATAATTCTTGATAAAAGGTATTATATATATACTGTATATATGAATAGCAAAAAAGTGTCAAGTGGGTTTAATTTTTGCGCAAAAAAAATAGAAATAACGCTTTCTCCATTTTTACTGGTTTACTTCCAATGCACCTGCTATTGCTTTATCACCGACTTTCTTGGTTATGAATGGGCATGGATGGGTCAAAAGATTTCTTAACTTATTACAAAGAAAGTTCACATATTTTTGGAACTATTATTATTATTATTATTCAATTTGCACCAAGTATTTCAAGGTTTGGTAGATTTTCTTTTGTCTATGGGTTAATTGGACTTTGATCGATGTATCCATCTCGAGTGTTTTTATTTTTATTAATAAATTGATTTACATTACATCATCCTAATCTAGAAATAATCACTATTATTGGTTAGAACCAATTTATCGCGTGTGTGTATATATAATGCTTCTGGTCGTCGAAGTTCTTTCAAATTTAATAATTTCAATAATAAAAATAAAAATATCTTCAAAAACGATCAAAAAGTGTCCACAAAAAACACCAGAGCCAATATATCATGTGACCAATCAAGCTTCTTCAGCTCTAGGAGGTGTAGGTTCAAAATCCTTCAATTGAACAACAAGAAAGAGATAATGTTGTTCATTGTCCCATAATTTGGTAGTACGTTCTTGAGGGTACAGGCGTCGTTAATGATCCTACTAATAATAATCCTACTATTAACACTTGATAATCATTATTTTTATTTGCCATTATCATTTTATCGTTATTATTTTTATTAATAATCATATTCATGAATTATAATGGATTATTAGAAGATAAAAAACGAGGGAATGATCGTCAGAGCTGTTGATACTGTGAAGGTATTATTTATTTTATTTTTTATTTATCTTATATTTGAAAAAATATCTAAACTTATAATTTAGGAAGCTGTCTTTGGTAAATAACTAATTGAACAAATTTATTTTTATTTTTATCAACATTTAATACTAATAACATTTAGTTATGATAAATAAAACATTGTCTTTCAAGACTTTCTTGTCAATTTGTGTTCCAATTAATATTTGTTATTTATTTATAAATAGAGATGAATTCTATTTTCCTTATTGTAATATTAATCTTTATTTATTTAAATAGAAATAATTTGTATTATTAATAATAATAGTAAACATAATAATCATCCCAGAGTAAATAATTGCAACAACAATGAATAATCGTAAAATTATAAACTTTCTAAATTTAAAATCTCTTTTGAATGAATTTACTTTGTCTTGATTTTCTAACTTCTTGAAGCCGTCATGTTGAATGAATCCTTCGCCTGATATCAATCGAATATTGCTTAACAATAAAACACACCAACTTTCAAAAGAGTCATAGGTGATGTATAAATTGTAATTGATCAATCACAGAAAAAATATTTCATAAGAATTAATTTCTTTGACAGCTAGACCAGTTATTTTTGACCAAGCTTTGTTGGAGTGATCACGATCTTGAAGATATTTTGATGAAATTATCAACGAGATTAAAAAATATTCTTCTACAACAAAGTATCGTTATTATAGGCGCGCATGAAGATGCTGTTGGAGGTATTTTATGAATTTGTTCTTTTAATATTTCAATCTTTGGCCTAATTCTAATAAGTAAAATAATGCAGTTTGAAGGGTTGAACATGAAGAAGTTCTTGATCTTCTTAAAATTCCTTCCAAAAAGGTTTTTAAAGACAATCAATTTGATTTTGTATTGTCACAATCAGGCCAAATCACCTCTAATATTAAACGACTCCCATCTGGATAATTTATGAATGTATGTAAGTACGCATAAATATATTCGATTTATAATAAAACAATTCCAATAATTATTCACTCACCAATCAAATTTTCAACAAATGCGACTTTATTATTTTTTCTTTTACTAATTTCAAGTCTGTGGCAATGGTATATAGCCATCTATCTATTTATAAGTTGATGTAACCATGAGGCTACACAAACATATGGTGATTTTATTAAAAAGATCAATCAATTTGATTATCCTGTTTAGTTTTCTTAATTTTCTATAAATAATAAACAATATACTTACTGAAATGAGCAATTTTCATAAAGAACCTCACGAAATCGGTTTGCAAACTGATCCTGATCCAACTGACGTTGCTATAATTTCACTTTTACAAAAAAAATACTCGTTCAGTGTTTCTTCTTTTCCAACTTTAGGAAATGATAAACTGAATGAAATATTGAAAATTTCTTCTGGTAATTATTCAAATGGCAGCAACCTTCAAAATTCAAAACAATCATTGTCATCACCCTTACTAATTAATGGTACAAAAACAACAACAACAACAATAACAACACCATTATTACACAATCCTCTAGCAACTACTAATGAGATTGATAAAACATTAAATAGCGCATCACAAAAGAATCTTATTGAATCATCAAGTTCAGCCACAACAAATAAATTGATATACGTTCCTCCTCAACAACGCGTTAATAATCACAAAGACCATACTGATGAATCTGATTCATTTTTTAAACAGCCTGTAAAAGAGAAATCATTGTATAAAATTCCACAAAGATCAACATCATATAAAGAAGAAAATCATTCAACTACCACTAATAAAGGTTCTTGGGATAGTATTCCACCACAGCAATCAACTAAAAATGATGATTGGATCACGTCTGCTTCATCACCACAACAACAATCAACTAATAAAAATGCTTGGGATATCGTTCCACAGCAATCTACTAATAAAGGTGGTGGTTGGGATGTTGTTCCACCACAGAAACCAATTAAAAATGATGATTGGATCACGTCTGCTCCACCACCACAACAATCGGTCAAAAAAAATGATTGGAACACATTTGCTTCTTCTCCACCACCACAACCGGCCAAAAAAGATGATTGGAACACATTTGCTTCGTCGCTACCACCACCACCACAACAATCATCACTTAAAGTAGATAGTTGGGGCACAAATGCTCAACAACAACAATCAACTGATCAATTAACTAATAAAGGTGGTCCTGCTTGGAATGTTGCTACACCATCATCAACTAACATAGATGATCGGAGGGATACTGCACCACAGCAATCAAATATACAAACACCATGGGGCACCACTACTACTGACACATCATCAGGTGTAGTAGCAGATAATTCAAACAACAGAAATTCTTGGTTGAAACAAGCAGCTGCATTTGAGGAAGAACTTGGCACAAAAAATACTACTGATAATGAAAATACCGCAAAACCACCAAGAGACAATTATAATGAAGGTTATTCAAATAATAATAATGGTTACGAATACCAGAATTATGGCAAAAGAGGTTTGTACAAGTTGCAATATACGTGTTTGATTAAGTATAAGATTACATCTTATCATTAAAAATTATTTCTATTTTTATTATTATTATTTTTTCTGGATTTTAGATGATAGAAACAATTATTCTAATGATTTCAGAAATAAAAGTAAAGGTGATATGGCATGGTACAGTTAATTCTGTTTGGTTTTATTAAAATTGATTAATTTCTATATTTTATTAAACAGATATGTAGGTTTTTAATTTGAAAAAATTTTTTTTTTAATATTAAAAGTTATAAATGCAATGAAACTGGTCATAGAGCATTTGAATGTCCCAATGATTCAACTATGAAGATATCTGAAGAGGAAGCATGGGAAAAGATGATGAAAGCTGACGCAGAAAAAAACATTGAAGATTTTAAGGAGATGTTTGAACATTATTCCAAAGCAGCAGCCAGTGAAACTTTTCAGACAATTGAGACCAAATTAAGAAAAGCTGGATGCAATACAAAAATAATAGCTTTGGAACGAGAGGCAATACCTTTGAGAAAATGTTTGGTTGATCTTCAAGGAAATAAAGAGAAAAAATACTTGGCTATTTTAACTATGACAGATCCAAACAAGCTTCCAAAATCTTCAGGAAATAGAGCTGTAGATGCGGAAGAAAATTTTAGGTGGCTTGCAGATGCGGGTTTTATGAAAGATGATTTTTCTTTACCAGTATGCTTCAATTGTAAACAAAAAGGTCACCTTTCAAAAGATTGTTCCGAACCAAAAAAAGAATACAAACGTACATATTTGGCATGCCAAAATTGTGATTCTACTGAACATATTACTAAATATTGTAAAGAAGAACGCCGTGATTATGAAAGTCGAAGAGGTGGTGATCGTGGTAGACCATCAGGCGGTAGAGAATGTTATAAATGTGGTTCATCTGATCATCTTGCTCGTGAATGTAATAATAACGACGGTGGCGGTGGAACAGGAGGAGGGTATGGTGATTATGGTGGTGGCGATTATGGTGGTAGTGGCGGTGGTGGCGGTGGTTTTAGAAGTGGTTTTGATACTTCAAACGATTTTACTTCATCTACTACTAATATCAATGGTGAGGACGATTGGAAAAAAGCAGCTGAATCAGCAAAATCTAGTTGGGGCGTGGTTGAGAATCCTGTTGAAGGGAAATCAACTGGCGGAGGCGAAATTGCTTTTGTCACTCAATCTGATTCCACTTCTACATGGAACAATAATAATACTCCTCATGATGGTTATCGAAACAATACTGGTAATGATGCCGTACCAAGGTGGTAGAAACGAACTAGTAATAATTAATAATAGTGCTATTGATTTGACAATTAAAATAATTTAATTTGATAATTAAAATAATAATTTAATATTATGCTTCTTTAAATTTTTAAAATAATAATATTGTCAATTAAAGTTTGCTATTATAAAATATATTATTGTATACAATAATAAAAAAAAGAACCTAACATTTTTTTTATTAATAAATAATCTCAAAAAAAGAAATATTTTTTTAATAAATATTTACATCACAAATTCATACATATATAATTATATAAATATTAATAATAATAATATTGAAATTAAATTTTTCGTAAAAACCCCTCCCTGTTAAATAAATAATAAAATAAACATTTGAATTTAAAAATTAAATTAAGTTAGAAAAAATAAAATAAATATACAGTACTCTTCTTTTTTTTTCTTATTACTCCAAAAGTCCAAAATATTAATGATGATAATATTATTATTTATTAATTAATATATATAATATAAAGTTTATCGTTGAATGTTTTTTCCTTTAACAACCGAATCAATTTCTTCCTGTGTAAGTGTTTCATAATCCATTAAGGCTTTTGCTAGACGATGTAATTCGTCTTTATGTGTTCTTAAAATATTTGTTGCACGTGCTTGGGCATTCTAATAATAATATCAGTAGTAAATATTTAAATCGGTAAATTCATTTTAAATGGAAGGGTGAGAAAGTTCCAATATAATAATATTATTATATTTATTATTATTTAGATCTTACCTCAACTAAAGATTTGATTTCACTTTCGATGACTAATTTAGTTTTAGTGCTTAAATTTTCCATGTCTTCATCTGAATGAGCAACAGGTCCTACCTTGTCACTCATACCAAATGTCCTTACCATATTTTTAGCAATTTCAGTTGCCTTCATAATATCGTTATGAGATCCTGATGTCACATTTTCTTTACCAAAAATTAATTCTTCTGCAACACGTCCTGCCATACACACATCAACCATTGCTAAATACTCTTTTTTAGTATATGAATCTCTATCAATTTCAGGAAGTTGCACTGTCTGTTTGTTTTTTTTTTTTAAAGGAATAGATAAATTTTTTCTTAGTAAATAATACACATAATTGATAAATAAATTAAATTCAATTGCAAAATTTTTTAATAGTACACTTACCATACCAAGAGCAGAACCACGAGGCATGATTGTAGCCTTGTGTAATGGTAATGCTCCAGGTGTATATAATGCCACTAAAGTATGCCCACCCTCATGATAGGCAGTTACCCGTTTACTTTCATCTGTAATTACAGCAGATTTACGTTCTGCCCCCATAATTATTTTGTCTTTAGCATATTCCATGTGTCGCATTGAAACCTCTTGAGCTCCATCACGTGAAGCTTGAATGGCTGCTTGATTAATCAAATTTGCTAAATCTGCACCTGAAAATCCAGGGGTTCCTCGTGCAACTACACTAATATTTACATCTTTTATAAACAAAATTATAAGTCTAAATGTAAGATTATCACAAATGAAACAATATATATATTTATGAACATTTCATACCATGTGAAATTTGGACGCTTTGTAAATGATGTGATAAAATTTGCATTCTACCACGAACATCAGGAAGTGGCACTGCAACATGTCTATCGAAACGACCGGGACGAATTAATGCTTTATCTAAAAGTTCTGGAAAGTTAGTAGCTGCGATAAAAATTACACCTTCAGTTTGTGAAAATCTTTTTTTTTTTTTTGATACAAAATAAAAATCAATAGTTTCGTGTCAATCAATTATCTACTGATTAAATAAAAAATAAATAACATGTGAATAGAATTAAAAACATACAAACCCATCCAAATCAACCAACAATTGATTAAGGGTCTGTTTCATATATGTTTGATCCTTTGGATTACGTTTTGAACCAATTGCATCCAACTCATCGATAAAAACTATACTAGGAGCTTTACGTTTAGCGGCAGCTTTATTTTAGGTTTGTTTATATATTTATTTATGAATTCATAAGTATATTTATAATTTAAAGAAATCATGAAATAAATAATTATATAAATTAAATAATAAAAAGGTTGGTCAACTCACCAAAAAGTTCTCTAACTCTTCTTGCACCAACACCGACATACATTTCATCAAATTCAGAGCCTGACATGAAAAAGAAAGGGACGCCTGCTTCACCCGCAACAGCACGTGCAAGCAATGTTTTCCCTGTACCTGGTGGACCAGTAAGAAGGACACCTTTTGGAAGTTTACCACCTAAATTAGTGAATTTTGATGGATCTTTCAAAAATTCAACCAGCTCTTCCAATTCTTCTTTAGCTTCGTCTACACCATGTACATCAGAAAATTTCACTATCTGTTGAGATGATGGCTCGTATTCCGATTGTGACCCACCAGTCTTTAATAAACCCGAATTTTCCATAGCAATACTTAAGAATGTAAATATGCAGAATGCATAAGTCAATGTAATTCCCAACCAACGTAAAGCACGCCAAAATATATATCCTCGGGCTTAGATTATTAAAAAAAAATAATAGATATATTTTTCTTATTATTAGCTTTAATAATTGAACATAATCCATTCACTAATATATAAATACATTAAAATGATAAATCAAATTTACCTTCATCTACTACAACATAAATTGGATTTTCTTTATTGCCTGCATTTGATGTATTTATTGTTGTAGGTCCATTTTCAACATTCACTTTTTTTCCTTGACCTTTAAGAATATTTTGTACTAAATCAGCTGTTGAAAATTTTAAACCTTTGAATAGAATAAACCAATAATTATAGGTGACAGATAACAATATATGTTAATGTTAATAATAATATTTTTTTAAAATGAAATAATATGTATCCCTCAAACATGTCAATCAAAGTTGACATCTAATTAATTACCTCCTTCTATATTAAGTTGTTCTAATTTTTCCACTATTTTTGGCAAAATTTTATCACTTTGCCCGACTCTTGCCAATGCAATTACATACGCCTGTAAACATTCCTCGTCATGTGCATACCTCCCACGTTCAAACCGAGCTATAACTGCATTAGGATGATTTGCCTTTAATAATTCCTAAAATAATAATAATAATAATAACAATAAATTACATTTTTGATTCCAAAAAATAGATATAGCTTATATATCTGTAATGAATTAATTACTTTATAAAATTCTGCTTGTTTTGCTGAATCATTGGGGGATGCATTAGCTTCAGTTTCTATTAGTTGTAATCTTCGCTGATTAATATATCGGATAGCAGAAGAATTTGATCCAAAAAATCGACGACTATTTAGAAAATTTTGAATTGAGAATCCTAAAGTAAGTTAGTCAAAATATAAATATATAAGTTATAAAATTATTATATATTTCTTCTATTTATCTTATTCTTACTTATATATAAATGTTTTTTAACAAGTTTATTATCATTCTATTCGATCACGTATAAATTTCAATATACCTTGTTTATTTGTTGGATTAAATAATAACATCCTTGAACTATATGTTGCTCTTGATAATCTAAAAGTATTAAATGGTGACAAATTAGATAACTCCCCTAAAAAAGATGTGGGCGTATGTATTAATATCAAGATTTTTTTTTTAATAAAAAAATAAACGACGAAAGAATATTATATAGACCCGAAAATTGAGATAATAAAGTTTGAGCTTGAGGGGTTTGACATGATGGAAGTTTTTTTAGAGTCGATATAGAATATGCTAGAGCTTCTGTTGATAAAGATTGAAGATTCTGGCTCTCTCTTAAACATTCAGGAAGATCGCGTACCTTTTTTTAAAAATTAAAGTACGTTAATTAAAAAAACATGATATTATTTTTTTCTAGAAATAATTTAAAAATTATATTAACCTGCAACACAGATCTTTGAAGAAATGATGTTGAAGGAGCTGGTTTATTTTTTGAGGAGACTGTTGATGGAGTAACTTTTACAGATTGAAGTATCAGAGAAGCTTCAGATAATAAAGCATTTAACTAAGTAATACAGAGTGCCAAACTTTAGTTTTTTTTTTATGTCAAACAGGAGGCAATTGAAGTTTAATTTTACCTGCTGAGACAGAGATGCTGTGAAATGAGCTTGCATTGGAATTAATTATTAAGTAAAGCTCTATTCTGTATATATATATGTGTGTGTGATCTTTATAAAATCAGATGGTAAAAAAGAAGAAAATAAATAGATCAAAGAAAAGATTTATTTTGCTTAATATTTTGTCTAATTCTATGTTGTAAGAATCCCAAAAATTGGTTGATCTAAATAAACAACTTTGATGAAATTTCTTCAAAGAAAACATGTGACACAATCATTTAGGATGTGTCATTTAAAATATTTTTTCATTGATGTTGTTAAAATGGTATTTATTTGTAATAATTTATGCAACTTTCTGGACAGATACATTGGAAGTTTGATAAATTTTATAAGAAATAAAAATGAATCTAATTTTTTTCTTTACATTATTTTATTACCATGACCAATCAAATTTAAAGATGGTAAAATTCTTAAAGTTGAAATAGCATTCATTGTCTGGTAAATACGCAGGCAAAAAGATGGCGATTGTAAAAACTTTGAAGATATATGGAAGATTCCTATGATCATTCCATAGTGGCTGGAATAGAAATATCCATTAGAAGTGATAAACATATTGGAATTAAATGTATTGCTAAATGTCTAAAGTTAAATCTTTCATAAAAAACATCAAATATAATCATTTAATGCCAACTATATATATATATTTGAATTGGAAGAATGGTTCAAAGAACCAAGTCAATGATTATCGACTAAAAAGATTTTAGAAAAAATTTTATGAATAAGATGTAAATCAGTAAAAGTAAAAAAGTAAATAGATTTTTACTTAATTGAGATTTTGATTGCAAGATGGTCAGACATATCTCATAGTACAGCTAGTTGTAATGGCTCTTTCTATAACAGTTTCACTTTATAACAAACTGAGAACTTAGGCCTATTAAAATTATCTCATATACCGCCTATAATGGTCTCCTTCTATAATGAATTTTTTTTGTTGAAACAGAAGGGCCGCTATAGAAAGTGAACTGTAATCAGCAGAGGAAAATTGCCACAAATAGCCAACTGTCACCTTTACATGAAAAGTTGTACTATACTTTTGCCCTGCTACGTCACTTTTTTTTTATGTTTGCGGATAGGAAAAAACAAAGATTATCAATATATGGTTGTTTTTCTTTGATTGTATTCAAAAAAAAAATTATTTACTTTGGGGGATGTATCGATTGCTCTTTCTGCAGCAAGTTCTCTCATTCATAGACGGGTTCTCAAATCATTATCAAGTTCTCCTTTCATTACTTTTATATATGTTTATTTCATCCTTATATCAGCAACATTTGAATACAAATAGAATTATACATTAGAAATGCCATTATGAGAGTATTAGAAGAATCAGGTTTCTTTAAAGCGATCTTTGAATAATTTTGAGCTGTAATATTTTCTTATTGGAAAATTTTTTTTTCATAATATTGTAATCAGAAAACAGTTTTACCAGATTGAATACATTCTGCCAAATAAGAAGCACACTAGCAACTAATAATAATGAATATTATATGTTTATATAAAAACATACATACATATAATGTGTATGTTGTAAATACCTTCACATCCTTCATTTAACTGTTGAATTTGTAAAGCCGATTGATCAAAATATTATTCTTCATCTTTAATAAATTTTTGATTTTCTTGAATTCTAATATTAATTAGTAGTAGGAAGATATTGTGTTTGTTGTCGTTGCATTATTGTCATTAGCATTAGTAATTATTAGTACAGCACCTGTTGAGAAAGTTGTTGAAAAGTTTTACGCGTTTTTATTAAATGAATATCATGTGACCAATATAAACTGAACTTGAAAATGAAGTTAAAATATATGGGTATATATTAACATTGATATACTCTAGTTATGCGATTGGAATAATCTTTGTCATAGGAACAATAATAGTTGGAGAGACTAGCAAAGTTAACTTTGGAATCTCCAAAGAAACAAAATCGATTGCAAAATATCTCAATAATTCAATTAGTTACTTTGATATAAATAGACTATATAGAATGCATATAAGAAATGTTAAAGACATTTGTTGATAATTTGTGCAAATTGAAATTCAAATTTTAATGGTATATAAACTTGATGTACTAAGAGGATATTTTATTTATAATAATGTAAAAATTTATTAATAAGATTATACATAATGTATATAATATAATTTTATTTCCTATTACTGCGATGACAACCTCTACTACCTAATAGTAGATTCTTGAAACTGCACTTCACTCTGTTCAAAGCCGAACTTTCTTCCTCCAAAAATCCTTTTCCTTGACAGCCTTTTGTAGATCAATTAACCAACGCAGCAACGCGCTTCCGCAAGGAAATATTATATCTCTAGATCCCATGACTGCAATAGAAGCACCACTCATATAATTGCAGATAGTTGGATATGGTCTATCAGTCTATTAAACAATGACATTTATATATAGTATTTTCATGAAGTACATGTTAAATTACAAGTAGAAGCATGCTTTGACATTATTATATCACATACAAATTCGATGGGGGCCCAACTTTTCTGTAGCTTTTTGACGCCCCTAGATTACATAATGAAGAGAAAATCATTTAAAACAAAAGAAGGTCACACCAATGATAATCATAAAATTTTTATACAAAATGAATATAAGACAAGCAACGGTATTTTACTTTAATTTTTACCATAATAACGATGTCAATCGATTGAATTAATAATAACAATAATGTATATATAATAAAGGTGGAGGATTTGCTTGCAATGCAAAATTGTAATATTATGAATCTTCCTGAAAATTATCAAATGAAATATTGTAAGTTATTTTGAAGAATCAATTGTTTGAAATATATATGTACAATAAATATATAAATATATGCCTTTATAGATTTTTATCACGCATTATCTTGGCCACAACTTTCATTTGTGGCAGAAGATCATAAAGGAAGAATAGTAGGTTATGTACTAGCAAAGATGTAATTATTATTATTATTTCTGGTTGATATAAGAAGCAGCGGGATAAAATAAGTTTTAATAATATATATATATACGATGATCATTATAAATAGGGAAGAAGACCCAGAGGAACTACCACCTCATGGTCATATAACTTCACTTTCAGTCATGAGAACATATAGAAGATTAGGAATTGCAGAAAAATTAATGACACAAGCTCGTAAGTTTTATTTTATTTTATTATAATAATAAAATATTTATATTAACGATTTTTTTATTTAAAAGAAAAAAATATGGTGGAGGTTTTTAATGCACAGTATGTTTCATTACATGTAAGAAAAAGTAATCGAGCAGCTCTAAATTTGTATAAAGATACATTAAAATTTGAGTATGATATTTTTATTTGTTTTATTTAGCAATATTTTAATTCATAAAAAAATGATTTTAATTGGATTTTTTTGATTGGTAGGATTCATGAAATAGAAAAGAAGTATTATGCAGATGGAGAAGATGCATATGCCATGAGAAAAGATTTGCAAACTAATACTAGTAGTAATATTATTTCAAGTAAATCTTGAGAGGAATCCATATTGAAATATTGATAATATTAATAATATAGATAGTATTAAAGTATTAAAGCTAAAATAATATATATATTTATTAAGGAAAAAAAAACTCAAGAATTTGTTTTAACTTTTTATTGTTCATTCTTTCAACACTTCCAACCATTTTCTTTTAGATATCCTTCATCAAATTGTTTTCAACATAGATTTTATATGTTGGAATAATTTAATTCAAATTTGGTAGAATTTTTTATGAGCTTTAAATGCATGATGATTATTTTTTTAGATGGAATCCAAACTAGATCTTTTTAAATGAATGAATTAATGAATTAATAAATTAATAAATTAATAAATCAATAAATCAATAAATCAAAATTCAATCCATAAAATCCTTACTAACCATTATCATTTTACCTTTATCATAGAAAAGAATTGCATCACTCTACTTGCCATTTACAACCATTTGAATTTTTTTATCAATCAATTTCAAATTTGGTATTTATTGAATCATGAAATCTAACATCCAAAAGTAAAAGACCAGCTGCCTCCTCATCATTTTCAATATTACAAAAGTCAACATTAGCTGAAAGTTTTGTAGATTGGAATACTTGTTGATCACATCAACAACTTTTAATGTTTCAATACAGATTCATTAAAATGTGTTTGCAATATTGTGGTCAAGTCTTTTTCAGAAAATGGTTCAAGAAATTTAGTAGGGATTAACTCTATCATTTGACATATAACAGAATTTTGTCTATGTAATAATGATTGGTAAAATGTTGCCTATAGTATTTTGGAAGTGTATTGGTTAAAAATGATTCTGTTAATAATATTTGGTTGGGTTTAAATGAAAATTCTGGTTTAGTTATAATGTCTTCAATAGATAAATCACTAGTAGTGACTAACAATCAGACACTATAAATATTTCATCTTGTTCACTCTTTATTAAACAAAATTTTGAACAGTTCTTAATTTCTCTTTTAAAGGCATGTACTGGTATGTTATCTGTTAATAATATAAATCAATATAAGAAACAATTACATGTTGTTTAGAGTGACTTCATTCATTACCTTCACAACATCACTCCAAATTTATAAATGGAACCTTCAACTGCTACATGTTGATATGAAGATTGCACTTGATCAAAGATACCATTCCATAATTCCTCATCACAATATCCTTTTGACTAATCCAAACCTGCTCCAAAATAATTTACATGTAATTTTGTCATCATTGTTATCAACACTTTTTGTTATTGTTGATTTCTGATGAGGTCCAAAGTTTGGGTTGTTTAGGCTATAAGGAGCATAGATTATGACAGGAAAAATTTTAATACTGTTAGATTCCACAACTTGTAATTAAATGCGTTTTGTTTACAAGACCTTACTTCAGGAGTAGAGAGTAAGAGGTCAATCAGCAAAGTTCAAAATGCAATACATACATAACATACTCATTTTATCAGTATGATTCGATTTGCTTATGGTTTTTTAATTTTTTATTCCTATTACAGTATTAACATGGTGACTTACAATTGTCCTAGAGACATTGATGTCTTTGAACACAATAAGGATACACATGAGCTGGTGACATTAATGCCTTTGAATACAATAAAGGATACACATGAGCTGGAGACATTGATGTCTTCAAATACAATAAGGATACAACATGAGCTGGAGACATTGATGTCTTCGAGTGCTACATATTTTGTGAGAACTAGAGACATAAATGTTTTTGGACAATACATATTGTATGAGCAAGTTGGAGACATCAATGTCTTTGAGTAGCATATATTATATGAGCAAGTTGGATGTCTTTGAGTACTAATAAGAGTTGGGAACATTGATGTCTTTAAGTAGCATATATTGTATTAAACATTGATGTCTTCAAGTATCATAAAATATGTGAAGGCACAATGTTCAAAGTCTTAAACTACCATTTATAAAAATCATACAATTTTGGTGGCATTGATGAGTTTCAAAAAAAAATTATATTTTATTATTATACCACTGTCAAATTATTACCATTGATTAAACTTCTTCTATATTGCTCATTTACATCAAATATTTCTTATTATTTTCTAAAATTCCCACAAAAATATTGAAGTTATTACTATCAATTTCTGAAATGTGTGATATTTAGATCTGCATTAACCATCTGCAATTAGTTCTTTATTGATTAAAAATTGATTCGGAACAAGCATATTTATGTTGTTTGGTTTTTTTACTGGATGTAATGGTTTCCTAGGAATAAATATATATTTTTGAGTCTCATCTGATGTTACTAATATTATAATTCATACATTAATTAAGTCTTTGTGATTTTTGGTTTCAAAGTCAGATAGATTACTCTTCAATGAGATTGAAAATATCAATTATTGGCAATGGTCATTAAGTTGCCTCCTATTAATTCAAAGATTAAAATAATAAACAAATGTAAATCAATTTCCTTTTCAGAAATAAAAATTGTTAACTTACTATAGTGAGCATAGATAAAAATCCTATCATTGACTGTTATGGTATTACCTAGGGGTAAGTAAATAAATGGGGGGACAACTCAATGTTACACATATAGATTTTGTGAATCCAAAACTGTCATGCCTTAAAAATTAAAAATGATGCGCATTTCATAGTAAAAAATCAAACT